ATCTTGATCTATTGAGATGATCAAATTATTTTTCTTATTTATTCTGCTAATATAGTAATTTACATTGATTGGTTTTCAAATTTGAAACAACCTTGGATTCCAGAGATGAACCCCAATTGGTTATGATGTATTATTTTTTATATATTGCTGAATTAGATTTGTTATATTTTGTTAAGGATGCTTACATCTACGTCTGTAAGGGATATTGGTCTGTAATTCTCTTTATTTGAAATTTCTTTCTCTAGTTTTGGTAATGCTGGCCACATAAAATGAGTTGGTAAGGGTTCTCTCCTCTTCTATTTTCTGGAAGAGATTGTGTATAATGGGTATTATTTTTTGCGTAAATATTTAGTAGAATCTCACCTGAAACCACTCAGGCTTAGATTTTTCTTTTTGGAAAGATTTTAACAAAGAATTCAATTTCTGTAATAGATATAAGACTATTCAGACTATCTATTTTATCTTGAGAGACTCACGGACACTTGGGTCTTTGAAGAAATTGCTTCATTTCACCTAAATTCTCAAATCCGTGGACATAGAATTGTACGTAGTATTCCCGCACTATCTGTTTTACTGTTTTGGGGGTCAGTAGCGATGTTCCCTCATTCATTACTGATTTTGCTAATTTGTATTTTCTCTCTTTATTTGGTCAGGTTGTGTAGATCTTTATCAATTTTATTGATAATTATTCAAAGAACTAGCTTTTTGTTTTATTTTTTCTGTATTCTTTTTCTATTTTCTTTTTTATTTTTTTCAGCTTTTTTGAGGTATAATTGACAAATAAAACTGTAAGATATTTGAAGTGTACATCACAATGATTTGATATATGTATATGTTGTAAAAGGATTCCTCCCATCTAGTTAATTAATACATCCATCACTTCACATATTTTTTCTTTTTCTTTGTGAGATATTTAAGTTCTACTCTTTTAGCAAATTTCAATTATTTTCAATTTAATTGATTTCTGTCTTGTCTTTATTATTTCCTTTTTTTTCTGCTTGTACTTCCTTTCATAGCTTATTCAGGTGGAAGCTTAGGTTACTGATTTTAGATCTTTCTTTTTTACTATAAGCATTTAATACTAGAAATTTCCCTCTAAGCACTGCTTAAGCTTCATCTCACAAATTTTGATACATTGTATTTCACTTTCATTTAGTTCAAAATAGTTTTAAATATCCCTTGAGGCTTCCTCATTAACCCACAGGTTATTTAGTGATGTCTTGTTTAATTTCCAAATATTTAGAGGATTTTGCTGATATCTTGGTTATTGATTTCTAGCTCAACTCTTTGCTAAATTTTTCTATTTCTCCTTTCAGATCTATCAGTTATTGCCTCATATATTTGGAAACAGTTATTTGTGCATGCATATGTAGGATCGTTACTTCCTCTCAGTGAACTGATCCCTTTATCCTTATGTAATGTTCTTCTTTATACCTGATCATATTCCTTTTTCAGACATCTACTTTAAAATTAATATCTCTACCCTGGCTTTCTTTTGATTAGTGCTTGCATGGTACATCTTTCTTCATCCTTTTAATTTCAATTTATCTATGTATTTATTTAAAGAGGATTTGTTGTAGACAGCATATACTTGGGTCTCACTTCTTTTAATCTGATCTCAAAACCTCTCTTTTTAACTAGAATGTTTAGATCATTCAAATTTAAAGTGATTATATAATTAGATTAAGATCTACCACTTGCTTTTTTTAATTGTTCCATTTGTTCTTTGCTTCTTTTCCTCTTATTCTGCCGTCTCTTGAATCAAGCATTTTTAAATTATTTCATTTTATCTTCTCTATTGATTTATTATTTATATATCTTTTTGTTTAACTTTTTTAGTGATTGCCCTAGAGTTTACAATATACATTATAATAATATTAGTCTACTTTTAAATAATACTATATTACCAGTGTAAGGAACTTATAACAGTATATTCCCAATTCTTCCCTCCTGCTCTTGTTGTTATGTGTTCCACTTTAACATAAGCTGTAAATACCCAATACATTGTTGCTATTACTTCTTTAAACAGCCAGTTATCCATCAGAGCAAATAAAAATAAGGAGAAAAATTACATTTTTACCTTCAGTTTCTGATGCTTTTCATTTTTAGTGTGTCAATCTGTAGTTCTTATATCACATTCCTTCTTTCGTGTATCTTCTATAGGTATTTTCTTTGTGGTTACCATGGGGATTACATAAAACATCTTATAGTTATAATAATCTTTTTTAAGCTATGAACAACTTAACTTCAGTTACATACAAAAACTCTATTCTTTTATATCATCCCCCACTTTATGTTATCAATGTCATAAATTACATCTCTTTATATTGTGTATCCATTAACATAGTTTTATTGTTATAGTTATTTTTATGCTTTTATCTTTTATATTCTGTATCAGTATATATTAAGATCTTACATTTTTATACAATTTAACAATCTCTGACTTTTAATTGGATGTTTAAATTATTTACATTTATTATAATTATCCGTATGGTTAGTTTTCCATCTGTCATCTTGATATTTGTTTTTTCTTTGTTCTCCCTGTATTTTGTTCCCTCTTCCCTTCCTTTCTGCCTTCTTTTGGATTAATTGAATATTTTTTATGATTCTATTTGTCTCCTTTGTTGGCTAATTTGCCATGCATCTTTGTCTTGGTATTTTAGTGGTTGCTTTAAGGTTTATAGTATATATCTTTAACTTATAAGAATCTATCTTCAAGTGGTACTATACCCCTTCATGTATAGTATAATAAGCTTACAAGAGTATTTTTCCATTTTCTTTTCCGATTTAATTTGTGCTGTCTTACATTTTAATTATATGTATGTTATAAAACTCACACTACAGTGGTATTATTTCTGATTAGACAGTCAATTATCTTATAATGATATCTAAATATTAGAGAAAGTTGTTTAAATTTATATGTAGTTACCATTTTCAGTACTCTTCATTTCTTTATGTAGATCCATATTTCTGTCTGTCATCTTCTTCCTTTTGCCCAAAGGGCTTCCTTTAACATTTATTATCCAGGTCTGATGGTGATAAGTTCTTTCAATTTTTATATGTCTGGAAAAAGACTATCTCACCTTAATTTTTAGAGATATTTTCACTAGGTCCAGAATTTATTTTATTTTACCTGTTCCAGCTTTATTGAGATATAACTGACATTGTGTATATTTAAGGTGTACAATGTGATGATTTGATACATGTATATATCATGAAATGTTTACCACAATAAAGTTAGTTACACATTCTTTACCTCACGTAATTACTATTCTGTTATTTTTCTTGTTATGGTGAGAACACACTCTTATTGCAACTTTCAAGTATACAGTACAGTATTGTTAACTATAGTCACCATGCTGCATGTTAGATCCCTGGAATTTATTCATCTTATAACTGAAAGTTTGTAACACTGGGTACAGAAGTTTAGGTTGACAATTTTTTATTTCAGAACTTTAGCGATTGCTCCAAATTATCATTTTACTGATTTTTTTCTATTGTTTTTATTTTCTATTTCATTTATTTGATGTACTTTTTATCATTTACTTTTTTCTAATTGTGCTGTATTTAATTTTCTATTCTTTGACCAGCTTTTTATAGTGGAAGTTTAGATCATTGATTTTAGAACACACTTCTTTTTCTTTTTTTTTTTTTTTTTTACATGCAATACTTTTATTTTAGACATGCAAGGCAAGCTATTTCAGAATCTACTAATTTAAAGCAAGCAGCTGTTATACAGATAACAAAAGAAGCAACATCTTGTTACAGCTCAGCACACGGCATCCAAAGCAAACAGGCATGAGACAGTGCATATTTATGCATCATTAAAACCAGATGAATAACATACTGCACGGCAAGGCGAGGGATGGAGGAAAAAATGGAAATGAAAGACCAATGTTTCCGAGTGCTTTCAATGTTTGATGCTAAATTTCTCATTTGACAGCCCATCCAGGTGCTTCACATGTAATGCCATACAGCGAGAATGGTCAGAGTGGAAATAACTGATCTGCACACCTGCCTAATACACACTTCCATGGGTCTTCTTTCAGTGGTCAACCAGTTTGAGCATTTTTTGAATTCGTTGTTTAATGATAGCCTAGTTAACTCAGGCTTTAACCACTCTAGATATAAACAATGAATTATTTGGTACTTTTCCTTTTATAAAATATGTTGCATGTTTTATTAAAGTATACAAAATAATAATATTAAAGGTTTTAATAGAAAGATAAAACCGTAATTAACAAATCATTAAGTATTTAAATGAATACAATATAAAACCATAACTAGTCAAATAGTATTTAAATCGAATATTAGAATTTTAACTATATAAATAAACTCAGTATCAATACTTTGAAAGAGTTACTTGCTATTGAACAATAGATACTGCCGAAGAGACTTTTGACATAGCTTTCTGATAGTTCTTAAAGGGATTGTTCAATATTATACAGCACAAATGTGATTCAATAAATGTGGCACTACGAATTACCTAGAAACTGTGAATGTTTTACCTTAAATATTATATAATAGTACAGATTTTACTTTCTTGTATTATTTCCAAATACACTTATGTGATACATTAGAACACATTAGGCTCATATAGACTGTAATGTAATATAATCACACTCAATAACTATAGTTTGGGTTTTTTCCCCCAACATTTGAAGACCAAACCACACTATATATTATGGCACTCCTTATTTTGACCTAGCATTTCAGCTGTATTTTCTTTGGTAAACATTTTAATGATTGCTAGGTTTTCCTCTTACAAGATTAATCACAGATGGTTCATAAATGATGACATTTATGTGTTTAAGATGAAATATTACTCAAAACACTCATAAGTCATATTTTTTCAAGAAGAAATTAAACCAGCTGCGAGCAGGCATAAGCTGTATGAAGATCACACATAGAATGAAAATAAAACAGAAAAGAGGAATAAGAACAGGAAAAAAATTACAATGTAAAGGTGTTGGTTCTGAAATGTTCTATTATTATTATACAAGATAATCAGTCACCAAGCTGAGGATATTTTCTTTCATAAGTATATCAGCTCTCTATTTCCTCTGTGAAATTCTGCATACACGATGAGTAGTCATTTAGTACACAGGGACATTAAAATATTCATGACGTGGCTCCTGCAGTAGATCAGCCTGCTCAATTGCTTTAAGGACATTTTTCTTGGATGTTTCCTGAACTTCCCCTCCCAAAAGAAACTCATCCAAAATAAAATAAGCTTTCTCAAAATTAAAGATGATATCAAGTTCACACACACTGCCAAAATACTTGTCAAGTAATTCCACATAACGATGAATTATTTCCAGGGTAATTAGTTCATTGTCCTGATCCTCAATAGCACAGCAGAAATACAGACTAGCATATCTTTTGTAAACAATCTTCAGATCTCGCCACTCAAGAAAGCTGCACATTTTAGGTTTCCGTGCTAAGACGGTTTGAACAAGTTCTCTTGTGATCTTTTTCTTCTCTTTGTCTGATAGTGGGACATACCATTTCTGCAGTCGAAGCTTTCCCTGACGACTAAAAAGCAACATAAACTGCATCTGTTAAGATAAATAAAACCAAGATCATATGCAGTACTTTGATTCAATAAAAGTTAAGATTAAGATGACATAGCTCCAGGGGACAGGGTGTCAACTGACAAATGATTAGTAGCCATCAATATTCCTATGTCAGTTAAAATAGCAGGAAATTCTTGTAGAAACATCTTCCCACCAGATGCAATCTCTCCATTCCACCCTGTTCCACGTAAGTTTGGAAAGCAGCGTGTGGGGGGGGAAAAAAGAAAAACAGGTAATAAGCTGGAATGGAAATTTTGAGGAAAAAGAAAGATAACTCTTGCAATTTAAGAAACTGTCTGCCTGTGCTATACATTCCACACTCTCTATATGCATCAAAAGAGAATTGTTGACATGAACTGGTTTAGGTACATTTAAAAGAAACAGGAGACCTACTATTTTTCACCCTGAGGCTGTTTAGTTCCAGGCTGAATTACTGTAGACAGACTGCTATCACTTAGAATGCTTTCTTCAGTTTATGCTTACATATTTTAAGCAAAACAAAAGATCTAAGAGATTACCCCCAAAAAAAATCCTATAAAAGCACATTTTTCTTAATAAAAGCATGACTTTTAAGTATCTCTTCTCATCTCACTTTTTAAAAATACCGATATAAATATGCACACAATAAACGAGTTAATGTAATATTATGAAAGAGAACATAAACCTCTAAAAAGCCAAAACAAGAGTTAAACATATTCAGAGACATTACATGACATACTTCATTTAAAACAACAAAAAAATAGCATTGACAGATGGGAGTGGATGTTGAATTCTAGTGTACTTTACACAAACTATTTTGTATATATTTATCTGGAATCTGCAAATCTGTTATTAGTCTACACATTTAATTTTTAAGGCAAGTTCTTGTAAATTCAACTGGTCTTCTCAACTGCAAACAGATAAGCACTGTTTCTACAAAGGTAATTTAAAGGTAGAATTCAGACGAGTATTTTTTTCTTTTAACTCTCCTAAGTTCCTTTAACAGCGTTACTGCAAGGAAGATCCCAGCCTGATTCTTAACATTCACCACACCATCTTGAATTTAAACATGGGGTGGGGGAATTTACACAACCCATTTAGAATACAACGGGCCCTGCCTTTCGGTAAGAAATTATTGTCGCTCTTTGTACTAGTCCAGACAGGCATCAACAAAATACTTAGAAATTTATGATGCGGCAATTTAACTTTATTAAAGTTAAAATTGGCTTATTACAACTCACTTAAAACGCTTCACTGGTACAAAATAAACGAACAATATTCGTGATATCAAAGTCCCTCCCATACGAGTCCTGTTAAGATAGCCGCATTCGAAGGGGACCGCAAGTAAAGCATCTACCGAACAACGTTTAATGCAAACCCGTTACCAGAACTTGGAAAATAACAGACCCGTATTCCAGGATCTCGGTGACCAGGAGGGGTGGGGGTTTGCTTTCGAAAGGAGTATAGGCTCAACGCTGTCGGTAGCAGGGTCCTGTATTTCCCCTCTACCACTTTATAGGACAAATAAATAATTCACTCTCTTTAAAATAAATTATGCGCTAACATGGGACGATACCCGGTTGCAAGGCACAAGTATTCCCTCTTATTAACAACCAATGCTTCGATTGTGCCGCAAATCGCAGGGCACCTCAATTCCTCGAGATTGCTATTAAAAACAATGGGCTCGGCCGCGGGGCGGGCTCGGGGCCAGCGTTCCTCGGTCCGGCCGTCTCCGCCGCCTCCCCGCCGCCCCACGGGGCCGCACTCCATCACTGACCAAGCCCGGGCGAGGTGACAGGCAAGGAGCGGGGCAGACAATGGCATCCGCCGCCGCGCAGGGGGCGCCAAGGGTCCTCGGCCGCCGCCGCCCCCGCCCGCGGGCCCCTCCCGAAAATGCCCCGCAAAACTTGAGATGATTCCCGAACCACAGGTGCCGCGGGGCCGCCGCGGCGGCCGGCACTGGCCCCCGCATCCCAGGGCGCGGCGCGGTGTGGAAAGAGGGGAGCGGACGCAGAGAGAAGTGAGTTGCGGGGCGCGGCGCCCAGTGGCGGGGCGGGCACGGGGTGGGGTCGTCGGGGCGCG